AATCATCACAATTAAAAGAACCAAAGACTTAAACTACTTCAGTCTGTGTGCATTGAATTTATTTAATACACGAGTTTCACAATTTGAGTTGAATTACTGAAATAAATGAACTTTTCCATGACATTCTAATTTATTGAGATGCACCTGTATAGTATGAGCTCAGATTTGTACAGTGAAACTGAATTTCCTTGAACAAAAGTTAAGGGAACTTTCTAACATGATCACAAAAAAGGTTAAGTCTTCATATAAACATTCTCTTACAGTGAAGTGAATCTGCAAATCTGACTATACAGCACTCACAACTAATACAGTAACCAAAGTGTGACTATTTGGCATGACTGATATGATGGCATGCAAATTTAATGGCTGGAGGACCACTTCCTAAAAAAAAAAAAAAAACTCACAAGGGTTCATAACTTTTGTCAGAAATCCCCTGATTTAAGACTATTTAAGGATGATAAACAATGTCCAAACTCACAAATTTGAACATTTTTCAATGTATTTAAAAATACTCAAACATCAAATAAAACAATCCTGCATTGAATCTAATTTCAAAAAGATTTAAATTAAGTATGCATTTATTAAAATAAATGTTAGAACGTAGCTTGGATATTTTACATCATCTTTACAATGCAATTGACTGATGGACTGATACTGGTGTAGCGCTGGATTGTTGTTTTCAATATACCTGATCACTCACTGCTACCTAGTGGTCATAATAGAATGTGTGAATAGAAATCCTGAAAATTATAGCCTACTTAATTTTCAGACGCTCCAGGAAAGTTTTGAGGGCTTATGATTTTGTTGTTTAGCAAATAAGTATGCGAATGAAAACACACAAACAGGTGAGACTGGCTTTACAGTGTGTAACAAAAACAGAACATGGAGGATAAACACATCTGTGTTTAAACATAAGCGTATTCCCCGAGCTTCGCTCAGAAATGATTCATAATGACCAGCGAATCGCTGGAATGTGATTTTATGCTGACATGGGCTATGCCTGTTAATATGTGGTGAAGCTGAATATTTTAAAGCAAAATCTAAAAAAAAAAAAAAAACTCACAAGGGCTCATAACTTTTGTCAGAAATCCCCTGATTTAAGACTATTTAAGGATGATAAACAATGTCCAAACTCACAAATTTGAACATTTTTCAATGTATTTAAAAATACTCAAACATCAAATAAAACAATCCTGCATTGAATCTAATTTCAAAAAGATTTAAATTAAGTATGCATTTATTAAAATAAATGTTAGAACGTAGCTTGGATATTTTACATCATCTTTACAATGCAATTGACTGATGGACTGATACTGGTGTAGCGCTGGATTGTTGTTTTCAATATACCTGATCACTCACTGCTACCTAGTGGTCATAAGGCTCGTGTGAATAGAAATCCTGAAAATTATAGCCTACTTAATTTTCAGACGTTCCAGGAAAGTTTTGAGGGCTTATGATTTTGTTGTTTAGCAAATAAGTATGCGAATGAAAACACACAAACAGGTGAGACTGGCTTTACAGTGTGTAACAAAAACAGAACATGGAGGATAAACACATCTGTGTTTAAACATAAGCGTATTCCCCGAGCTTCGCTCAGAAATGATTCATAATGACCAGCGAATCGCTGGAATGTGATTTTATGCTGACATGGGCTATGCCTGTTAATATGTGGTGAAGCTGAATATTTTAAAGCAAAATCTGGGAAACCGCAAAGAAACACTGTGTTACCAACACCACTTAAGATTCAGGAATTCTTTTTGGTCTTATATAGAGCTCTTTTAATACTTTATTACTTCGCTTATTTATATATTAATAAATATACATTTTAAATTATTATTATTGTTGTAGCCTAACTATTATTTATTTATTTTTGTCTCAACAAATGGCTCAAGAGGTGCTTAACCTTCTGAAAATTTTGACTGTGGAGATCAAAATCTAGTTTATTTTAAATAAACCTCAACAAATGAAACTAGTTTGGGACCAAATGTAGGTTTGTAGTTAGCCTACTGATAAACTTATATTACCATAAATTAAAGAACATTTCATTTGTTCGATATTTTTTCTTACAATAACTTGGGTAACAGGACGTTATTATTAACATTAACAATATTAATAATAAATAAATAAATACATCATAATATGAAAAAAGCCAACTTTTTTTTCTTCATGTTTTGGCTGGATCTCAAGAGGATATGAAGACCTAGCCGGGAGTCACTTTATGACATAATCATCGAGCAAAGTTCTTTTATAAGTGACCTGTCATCTTTCGCTGCAACAGGTGAGGGCTCCAACTTCTCCAGACGTCCTCGCACCACAGTCCTGGAAGAGCTTTAATCATGGCCACAAACGCCCAAGAAAACTTATATGAACAAATCGAAGAGACGAACGAAAACATATATGAGAGGCCGTATGAGAACATTAACAGCAACCCAGAGCCGAAATATGAGAATCAAGGCACGAGTACAGAAATTCCAGAGGAACCGTTGTACAGCACGCTCAATCAACCGTACCCAGACTACATAAATACGAGAGGAACATCTCAAGAGGAAGAAGAACAGCCTTCACCATCCAGTGAACCAGGAGAGCAGCTCGAAAGCGAGATCATGGTGGCGTCTCTGTCGAATGGAGATGTTAACGGGTCGTCATTTTTAGAGGAAACTGGAGACCCTTGTGATGACCAGCCCTCACTGGTCCACGAAGACCTGCTCATGGCTTACAGTCTCCCAGAAGACGGATCTCCAGAACCCGAGGAGGTAGTTGACTACAGCCTGAAGGACGTGGAGAACAGCACCGTGGAAGAGACAGCTGCAGTTCCCGACCCGAATCAGCCTGATATTGCGCTTTTTGTCAAGGTAAGGGCTGTTGGTTTGACAGCTGCATAAAATAACCTAAACTTTTGATTTGATTTAGTTTTATTAAAGAAAGAAGGCATTAAAATTGGCGTTACATGGTCAGTCTGAAGGTCAGTTGGGTGTGGTTTGTGATAGCACTCATATTTCTGCTTACCTTTGGCCCTGAAAGACAATGTGAAGACAACCTGAAAATGAATCGTCAAACCTTACACGCCCAGCTTTTTTCCTTTTTTTTTAACCCTGAGCCCCTATTTGAACTAAATTATAATACTCCAATGTTATATCTTAAAAAAAAAAAAGACAAATTATGCTAAACTATAATTATCATAATCATAACAAATAAAACGATAAATCCCACTGAATCATTTTCAGCATTTCAATCACAATCTCTCAAGCCTCATTTGGTAAACCCTGCTCAATCTCAGTCCAAAGCAGTTATGAATTCATTCCGTTTTATGTAAATGAAAAATAGTTTGACATTCAAGAATGCAAAAGAAAATCAGGCTGATTGGAATGCAGTTAAAACAAGTTTGAATGAAGAAATGGGATGTAAATGTTAGTTTAGCACAGGGGTGTCCAAACTCGGTCCTGGAGGGCCGATGTCATGTAGAGTTTAGCTCCAACTTGCCTCAACACACCTGCCAGGAAGTTTCTAGTATGCCTATAAGAGCTTGATTAGCTGCTTCAGGTGTGTTTGATTGATGTTGGAGCTAAAGTCTGCAGGACACCGGCCCTCCAGGACCGAGTTTGGGCACCCCTGATGTAGCAGGTATTTAATGATTCAACAGATACAAATCAATGTTAAGCACAATGGCCTAAACATTACAAAAACGATTGGTATGATTCATTCAGGTAAGATTTTCCTCTTGATCATTAACGTGGATAGGGTTTTCAAAAGTTCCTCGGCTTGCTCACAGTCTATCAGAATTAGACATCCTGAACCGATTGCATTTCATTTGGAAGGTTCACTGTGACAGGCAATATGAATAATCATTAACTTGAAGTCCTGACCTGAGTAAATGAACTCTTGGCCTCTCTTTGCCCATCACTTTAGTCTCTGTACATGATGTGGTCACTCAGCCGACTGAGCCACTGTGATTGTGGGATTGAGGCTTTTTCATACTCATGTTTATATCACATTCCATGACAAACGTGTCACACTATCAATGGCATCAAGAATAAATGTATATTTATCTGTTTATTATTGAAAATGGCAATCACAGATGCACCAGGATGTGATACACATTTTGCACGTAACAAACCCTCAGAACAATTCAAACATTACATAACTACTTTATGGCCACATATAGTCATAAAAAAGTATGGATAAAGGAGTAGTTGTTGTTGAGTGGCACAGCGCAAGGCTGCCTTTATTCAAGAGAACTTACATAAATTACTGTAAACTAAAAACCATAACAGCATTGGTCAAGTAAGTGTTGGCCTTGGTTAAGAGTTTAATCTTATTGGCTGCACATAATGGGGCAATGAACTGTCATAGGCAGACGGTTTTTATTAAAGTTTACATAGCCACCTTTACTAAATGTTACAGATGTTGGTGGTTACTGATTAGATTCGATATTGACATTTTACAATGCACATTTACTTACATTTACAGTATGCAATAGTTTTACCTCGTTATTAAAAATACAAAAAATAGTATTTCAGTTTAAAATGAAAATCTATTTATTTAGGAGCAAAAGATTCTGATTTAGTGACGGTGTCCATTTCTGGTTTTTAAATGTCAAGCAGCATCAGCAATGTGATAATCAGATACAGATAATCAGATCCTCCCACACAATTGCTACTTTGATCAAGTGTGACCTTGAACATTTAAAACACATAGCTATTTTAAAACAATTTTAGCACTTTGGCTCAGCCAAAACACTCCAGCAAATATGCACGATGCAGAAGTTAATTATTAACTGCAGTGATTATATTTAACCTGTTGGGAACTGAGCCATAAAAAAAATGTGTTTGAGACTCACCTGTTACTGAGAATGTTTAGTTGGACTTCAATCTGAAGCTCTTCATCCAGTGGCATTATTTAACTCATATTTCAACTCATCTAAGGTGAAAGATGATCTTCTGTTGCACTCAGACACATTAGCAGTGATGTGACCTGTGGTCATAGGCCATTTGAATAACTGAGGAAAATTGCTTTCCTACTTGAAAATTAATATGCTTTTACATCAAAATTGATTAATATATTTCCCAAAATATATACTGATACATATATCTAAATGAAATGCATTGTATGGAAAGCCTGTGTAATTTTGCCTGCATCAGGTTTAATTTACAACATTATTATGAAGCATTATTAGTTGCCATTATAATTCTAGCAAAGTTTAAATGGTTTTAGATAGCTTGTTAGAAAATAACATGCCACTTGCCAGATGCTTCCTATATTGTAGCATGAATATTGTTATTCTACCAGTAGAGGAAGCTGTTCAGCCTACTATGATAAATTCTAACGCATCCGCTTGTAGCACATGAATACATTTCCAAGAGAATAATGATGTTAATAATGTCCAAATTTAATTCATACTTAACATCTTTAATACTGGGGTCCTTAAGAAGATGTAAAAGCATAATATGATGAGATTTAAGACACTTTTTTTTGGAGCATTTTAATAAATGGCACCTTGTAATTGGGTCATTATCTTTACAAACACAGCAGTTGTAGCATGTTGTTTTTAGTGCTATTTTAATATAATTTAAATAATATTATAGTTTTTATTCATATTTTGAATCAGTATTTGAATTTTATATTATTTATTTAAAATTATTTTGTAATTTTTTAGTAGTTATATACATACATATATATATATATGTCATTTGTAGTTTTAGTTGTTTTACTACACCTGTGCAGTAATAATGCTGTCTAATCAGCATCTTGATATGCCACACCTGTAAGGTGGATGGATTATGTCGGAGAAGTGCTCACTAACACAGATTTAGACAGATTTGTGAACAATATTTGAGAGAAATAGGCCTTTTGTGTACATAGAAAAAGTATTAGATCTTTGAGTTCAGCTCATGAAAAATGGGGGCAAAAACAAAAGTGTTGCTTTTATAATTTTGTTCAGTGTATATATATATATATATATATACTGCATTTCATCCAATGCAGCGTAACATTTTTATTTGATAATTTGGCAACATATTTATCCCACAGGTGGTTACAATATTGGAAACAAGTTGCATTGTAATGCACTGCACATTTAAAGGTTAAAAGCAGTCTGAAGCTAAAGAAACAGACCACGCATAGTAATGGTGATTTACATGTTTAGTATTCACATATCAATTTCACTTATATCTAAGATAGTCAGCTCTATTTTGGGAAAGCAAATGAGTAATCTTTATTTCACTCATATCAGTCTCATCCAAAAACTGTGAACACAAATTCACACTATAAACCAAAGCCAGCTCATAAAAAATTTAACAGGGAATCTTATTCTCCTGGGCTCCACAAGATGATCAAATACAACCTGCTGTTGCCTGCCAGCATGCTGCCTGTGACTTGGACTGCATTAAAAGTGCATGTGACTCATTCCTCTACTCAGAGTTTCTGGGCCATGAACATGTCACATAGTTACACAGGGACAGGATGGTGCATGAGTTAAGTGGCAGAGACTCTAAACAATGAGCTTATATATTTTTCTGGTCAGAAATTTTACATGCAATCTATGTATATGAACATATATATACCATAGATGGTTTAAAGGTCATCTCTCAACATCACAGTTACAGTTCTGGTATATTCTCAACTGCCACTCAAGCTCAACAGAGCTATTTGTGGCAGGGGCAGGGCAGAGTAAAGCCCCGCCCCCAACTAAAGCCTCTCACCTATTCCCTCTCTTTTACATCACTCGTGTTTGGGAGAGAGCTAGATTCACCTTTCATCTGGGCTTTAGCTGACATCACAACACCTGGTGCCTTTGGCTGGTCGTCAAGAACAGAACAAACAGAATCCAAGAGAGCGTGGCAAAACGTTGACATTTAACCCAAATATCTGCAAAATACTGCTGGGAGGATGTAGGTGACAGATCAGGAGAGATACCTGAATCAAAGAAAGTGTCTACAATGGGAGACGGTCAAGAACCTGATATTGAGTTATTTGTCAAGGTAAGGAGAGAAATCTAGCATTTAGAATGAGCTTTATGGAGTTATAAGGCTCTTATAAAGTCAGTGTAACTCAGTAGCTGTTTTAGAGTAACATGAGCATATTTGACTAAGGTCATGACCAGGTTGTAAGTAGAGTAATGTATAATTGCCAGTAATTCTCGCACATTGGTTTAAATAGATTATTGGTTGCATATAAAGGTGGTATTAAAATAATATACCCTCAGTAATTCTCATTCTGATGTTTTTGTAAGAAATGCATTGATATAAATCAATCAATAAATACCAACAAGATAATAATTATTTTCATGATATGGTCAGTAACTGATAAATGGCTGAAAATAAAAGTATTTTGTCTAAACAAAACTTTTTAAATATTTTACTATTTTATACTAATTAAAATTAAAACACTGAAAACTAAAATCAGTCATTTTAAATGGTAAAAGTGTACAGTACTATAATGTACAGTATGAAAAATGGATAATCATCAGATTTCATTTAACAGTGTTATTAAATTTAATTATTAGGGTTTTTAAAGATTTAAGAAAGAAATGAGCATTCACATTCAGCATATATATACAGTAGTCAACATTTGAAGTGGATCAAAACCTTTCATCAAAGTTGTCCTAAAACCAAAACAATACCCATTCTTGTCTTAGGACAACTTTGATGAACTTTTTGATCCACTTCAAAGGTTGACTACTGTATATTCTGTACAAGTTTCTATCACCATACACACAAATGCAATACAGTTTTTAAAAGTAATATCTATCATTGCAAACAATGCATGAAACTTACTGGATCTGAATATTATGGGAAAATAGCAGCAACATATGAAAAGTCTTATAAAGCAAACATACACATACAGTACACTGACAATGCACTACTACATGCTTCTGTTATGATTATATGATTAAAGTGAATGCATTGTTTTCATTGTGTTCCAATGGCAGCCATGCTGAAGCAACTTAATTAAAAAAAGAAATGTTAGAAACAAACAAATCCTCTTCCATGCACTAATCTTTCTTTTTAACACTATAAATCCTGTACACAATGTATTGTCAGTCAGTCACACCCCAGTCTGTTTACAGCCCTGAACTGCCGTCCAACAGAGCAACCGGTCCTATAGCAAATGACCTATTGTCCTGCGCTTTCTAGATTGTAGCAGCTCATTGTTCTGCATCCAGTTCTCTCTCTCTGTTCTGAATTTGCCAGAATGGACAGATGAGTGGAAATGGAAGTGCCCTGAGCTTTCACATACCATCTGCCTCATTTATCTGACTGTGTTTTGCAATGTATTTTCTCCCACGATTCTTTTTGAACCATGTAATGAAAACAAACTGTGTTAAAAAGATGCAAAACAGAAGTATTTTCACTAGTGGACACTGTATACCTATTATATATTTGACAGAATGCTCCTCGTGTTCTTCTTACAACCAGGCCTCCAGTTAATGAATGCAGTGTGCATAATTCATATCATGCTGGGTATTATGTCACAGTGTAAGCTATAGCTGGTCTCGTGATAGTGGTGCCGCTGTTTTGGCACACCTGATCTCCTCCACTGCTGCTGAAGCATACAGTAGCAGTGTGAATGTGATTAGCACTGTCACTGACTGATAACCGAGGTCATTTGTACTCTCCATAATGAAGAACTTTGGTGATTATCACTAAATGAGTTAAATTAGAGTAACTGTGTAATCTGTAATACTAATTTTTGAGTAAATGAAAATTATGCATTTCAATTAAGATTTTAAAATGAGCATAAGCACATTTGTTGTTGCTGATTGCCCCAGTTCAGTGATGTCCAATCTAAAGCAGGGTATTTTAAAAGGGAGACGGCGACCTCGAGGTGGTCAATGATGGAACTGCAGTGGTCTGACAATTATTGATCAGATTAGATTATGAACTAAAAACCTTTTTTTGTTTTGTGTGTGAAAAAATAAAAATGTGTGTTAAACAAAAATACAACATTAACAACTTTTTTGAAGCTAGTGTGGCTGTTTCACTGTAAAGAAATTACCGTATATTTTATGTTCCTGACCTAAAAAGTTTTAAAGGGATAGTTCACCCAAAAATAAAAATTAATCATTTACTCACCCTCATGTGATTCCAACCTGTATGAATTTCTTTCATACAGTTGACGGTAGCCTTTGACTTCCATACTATTTTTTTCAAAGCTATGGAAGTTAATGGCTACCGTCAACTGTTTTGGTTACCCACATTCTTAAAAATATATTCTTTTGTGCTCAATAGAATAAAGAAACTCATATACATTTGGGAAAATTTGAGGGTAAGTAAATGATGACCGTATTTTCAGTTTAAGGTGAACTGATTTAAGGTTTTAGGTGAAATAATACTATTTTCCAAAAATAATAATAAGTTCTTGAGAGAAATAGTTCATATGATATCTCAAACAGAGTATGGTGCTAGCAAAACCAAGGTCATGGGTTTGATTCCCAAGGAAAGAAAGAATGGATAAAATGTAAATGTATACCTTGAATGCAATGTAATTTGCTTTGGATACATGTCTGCCAAATGCATAAATGTAAATGTAATTGTTAATGACTATGTGAAACACAAGAAATAATAATAATAATATTTACTATTTCAAGGAACACAGCTCACATGCAATACATTATGCCCACTTTTTGGAAAACCTCTGCTATATCCTCTGAGATTTAAAGGTGACATATCATGAAAATATGACTTTTCCAGGTTTTAAGTGCTATAATCAGGTCCCCGGTGCATATATCAACCAAGGAAACGTGAAAAAGATTAACCCAGTAACTTTGTTTTGGTAAGCCTTTTTCTGCAAGACTCTGAAACATGAGCGAGACTGATTTCGCTCGCTTGGTGACGTGGCAAAGGGATCTCATTATAATATTACCGCCTCTTAATCTGTAAGTTTCCACCCATGGCTCTGTCATTTGATTTTGCAAGCGACAACGGTTCGAAAGTTTGAGCAAAACATGCTAACTGTTCTGTCTTTGGCTGTACAGATGAGCACAGAACACTATTTAGAGTTCCAGCCTCAGAGGAAACGGAGCAGTGGATTTATTGATTTATTTACTGTATATTGCTGCTGCCACACAGATCTAAAATAAACATGTGATTTATTTCCCAGCTGTTTACCTTCATAGACATAACCGACTGTTTTTGTAACTCATGTGTGTTTTTAACGTAAACTTGTGTGTGAATGAGAACTCAGTTTAGTACTCACATGCTGTGACAGCCGCTTTCTGTCCGTGTGCTTCGGATGTGTGCGCTCAGAAAACCGTATATAAGAAGTTTAAACTCATATGGTTTAAAACGCATGATTTCAGCACGATAAACATGATAATCAGAACCAAAACAAACGTTTTTAGCAGGTCCGAGCTGTAAAGGCGCAGCTCTATTCTGGAAAAAGGGGCGGGGAGCAGCAGCTCATTTGCATTTAAAGAGCCTGGCCCGAAAAACAGCGTGTTTCTGCTTCCACTCAAAATAGGCATGTTCAAAATGATATAATAAATGATCTATGGAGTATTTTGAGCTGAAACTTCACAGACACATTCTGGGGACACCAGATACTTCTATTACATATTGTAAAAAGGGGCATAATGTCTCCTTTAAGGATTTAGATTTTCATTTAATATAAAATGCCTGTAACTAAAACCAATTTAATGAATGCGGAAAACTGATTTTATTTAATATAATTCTAAAGTGATTCTTATTTTACTTGAAAATTTCCTTGTAGTTAGACTTCAGGTAAACACTGTTCTCAATGTCCATTGAAACTTTGAAGCAGCAGCAGGGGGCGCCATGACACTTTATCATTCTCAATCCAGTCTCCTTGCTCTAGAACATGAGAACTGGTCTCCACCACATCTTTGGCTCATGTTATTGGCATTGAGATAAATTAAGACTTACTGATCCCTGGAGGTGATGTATATGTAAAGATGTGTTGTTGTATTTGTAGGCTGGTTGTGATGGCGAGAGCATCGGAAACTGTCCTTTCTCCCAACGCCTCTTCATGATCCTCTGGCTCAAAGGTGTGGTCTTTAACGTCACCACTGTCGACCTGAAGAGGTGAGAACTTCACTGATCTGAGATTAAATGGCATGAAACTTGAATAAGTATATCAATAACAAATGTCACATCTTCATGTTATTAAATGACATTTCAATTGGATATTAAAATGGAAAACCCCCCAAAAAATCAGTTCTAGGTTATGGAACAGTGATATTGTTAAAATATGATCAATTTTGCATGTCAAAGCTCAAAGCAGGAAAATATATTTTAGACTTTTTCTTTGCAAATACGAATACGAAAATGAAAAAGAATCGAATCGAATCTAATATCTGCATTTTTTATGCAGTGCAATGCTGGGCTGGTTTAAAATTAAAATTCTTAAAATTAAGAAGTTCATAAAATGTTCTTTTATTTTAATTCAGGAAACCAGCTGATTTGCACAATTTGGCTCCAGGCACTCACCCTCCTTTCCTGACCTTCAACGGTGAGTTGAAGACAGACATTAACAAGATCGAGGAGTTTCTGGAGGAGGTTTTGGCACCACCAAAGTAAGCAAATTTTTACAAATACCCTAGAGACGAATTGTGACTGCATAGAAATTCTAAACCTGCTGTTCTCAACTGGTTTTGCTTCAGAACCCAGATTTTACATTGGACATCAATCATGGTCAAACACAGCACCAAAACTGTTTAGCAACTAAACAACATTTCAAATCTATTAATATTACTAATAATGTAATATCTAGCATCACAGCCTGAGCAAATTAAATGGAGAGGTTATCAAAATGATTTATTTAGCATTTCTTTTTTATTTCTTTATTTGCATTTAGCGTATTTTTTTTCTATGGCCTTTGAGAACAGGCCTACAGCCCATTTTTGGGTCAAAACCCACCAGTTAAGAACCGCAACCCTAGACTTTTTACGCAGTGTATATTGTATTAAACATCACATTAAACCACTGTGAACTAGAACTGTAAAGAATACTGACACATGTTTTTCTATGTACCTTTCCTTGTGTCCAAGGTACCCCAAACTTGCAGCCAGGCACAGGGAGTCAAACACAGCTGGGAATGACATATTTGCAAAGTTCTCAGCTTTCATAAAAAACACTAAGCCAGATGTGAATGAAGGTATGCATGTCAAACCGGATCAATCTGATTGAATGAATGAATGGATTTATTGTATTTTGGTCAGTACAATGAAACTGGGCAAAGTTAAATTCAGTTAACTCTATATGAAATCCATAGTACTATAAATATCCTATATATTTTAGCATTGAATGTATGAGAACTGTTCTTTTTTTTTTAAGATTGGTTACGTTTTCAGTAGGGATGTGCTGATACAGACATTTTGGCTGATGCGATTTCAAATATTTATTATATTTTTGTTGTGGTTGATAACCTATGATGACTGAAATTTATTTGGAGTTTTGCCAGATTTTAAACAATGTACACATGGAACTTGGTACAGACAAAGAAAATGCTTTTTTAATAATAATAAATACATACATAGAAATATTTAATATTTAAACTACCATTCAAAAGTTTAAATGTTTTTTAATGAAAATAATTCTGTTATTCAGCAAGATGCATTAAATTGATCAAAAGTGACAGTAAAGACATTTATAATGTTACAAAAGATTTAAATTTCAAGTAAGTGTTATTCTTTTGAACTTTCTATTCATCAAAGATTCCTGAAAAAAAATTGTGCTGCTTAATATTTTTGTGGGGAAATAAAAAAAAGAAAAACAAACAGTGCTGCTTGAAAGTTTGTGAACCCTTTAGAATTGTCTATATTTCTGCATAAATATAACCCCAAAAATCATCAGATTTTCATGCAAGTCCTGAAAGTTGACAAAGAGAACCCAATCAAACAAATGAGATAAAAAATATATACTTTGTCATTTATTTATTCAGGAAAATTATCAAATATTACATATCTGTGAGCAGCAAAGTATGTGAATCTCTAGGATTAACTGTTAATTTGAAGGTGAAATTAGAGTCCATCTGTTCAGAGGTGTTTTTAATCAGTGAGATGACTATCAGGTGTCAGTGTGTGCCCGGTTTTATTTAGAGAACAGGGATCTATCAAAGTCTGATGGAAGTGTATTATGGCACAAACAAATGAGATCTCTGAGAACCTCAGAAAAAGAGCTGTTGTTGCTCATCAGGCTGGAAAAGGTTTCAAAGCCATCTCTAAAGAGTTTTGACTCCCCAAATCCACAGTCAGACAGATTGTGTACAAATGGAGGAAATTCAAGACCACTGTTACCCTCCACAGGAGTGCTCCACCAACAAAGAACACTCTAAAAGCAAGACGTGTAAAAGTCCACTAGGTTTCAAAGGACTGCAGGCTAACTTCTAAGCAACTAAAGGCCTTTCTCACATTGGCTAATGTTAATGTTTATGAGCCCCTCATCAGGAGAACACAGAACAACCACAGTGTGCATGGCAGAGTTGCAAGGAGAAAGCCACTGCTCTCCAAAAAGAACATTGCTGCCCATCTGCAGTTTGCTAAAGATCATGGGGACAAACCAGAGGGCTACTGGAGAAATGTTTAGAACATTTTGGTTTAAATGAGCAGTGTTATGTTTGGAGAAAAGAACACACTACATTCCAGCATAAGAACCTTATCCCATCTGTGAAACATGGTGGTGGTAGTATCATGGTTTGGGCCTGTTTTGCTGCATCTGGGCCAGGACGGCTTGCCAACATTGATGGAACAATGAATTCTGAACTATACCAGCAAATTCTGAAGGAAAATGGCAGGGCATCTGTCCGAGAACTGAATCTCAAGAGAAAGTTGGTCATGCAGCAAGACAACGATCCCAAGCACACGAGTCGTTCTACCAAAGACTGGTTAAAGAATGGGCTAAAATTCCTACAAGCCGTTGTGCAGGACTGATCAGCAGTTACAAGAAATGTTTAGCTGCAGTTATTGCTGCAAAAGGGGGTCACACCAGATACTGAAAGCAAAGATTCACATACTTTTGCCACTCGCAAATATTTAACACCAGATAATTTTTCTCAATAAATAAATGACAAAGTATATAATTTCATCTCATTTGTTCGATTGGGTTCTCTTTGTCAACTTTCAGGATTTGCATGAAAATCTGATGATTTTTTGGGTCATATTTATGCATAAATATTGAAAATTCTAAAGGGTTCACAAACTTTCAAGCAGCACTTTATATATATATATTTTCACAAAACATTCACACAAGTTTTTAAAACTTATAATAAAACATCAATAAATTACATTTGAAAATATATTAAAATAGAAAAGTTATTTTAAATGGTCATATTTCACAGTATTATTGTTTTGACTTTTTTTTTATTTTATCAAACAAATAAGGCTTTGGTGAGCATAAAACATATCTTACCCAAACTAAAGTGTATATACTGTTTTTTAAATATATATATTGTATTAATATTATAACATTAATAAGAAAAAAAAACAGTCTAATCGCAACCTAATCAGATTAACACCAATATTTAAAAAAATATATATTATATTGACCATATGGTCACCAACATACATATTTTAAATGTTTCCAGAATTTTTGGCAACCCTAATTTTACCATTCACCATCAAATACTGTGCAATAACAGAATGGTTATTAAGAAATGTGTTATGTTTTGTTAGCTCTGCAGAAGGGTTTGACAAAGGCACTCAAGAAGCTTGACGACTACCTGAACAGTCCCTTGCCTGATGAGGTAGATGCCGACAGCATGGAAGAGGAGAAGGCCTCCAACCGCAAGTTCCTGGACGGGAATGAGCTGACTCTGGCAGACTGCAACCTGCTGCCAAAGCTCCACATAGTGAAGGTGAGTTGAAGCGCTAAGGGGGACTTGTCACTAGAGTTGGCCTGCAGTGTTTGGGGGGTAACCAAGGAGGCCTGTAATACCTGGTCAGAGCTAACCGTTAGCATTCCTATTAATCTCAATGACAATTTTGGCGGACATTTGCACTCACGGAGGACAGTCAATGGAGAAGATGCAGTTTGCTGCCAGACATTTAGGGGGAAACTGTTAACCAGCAAAACCTCAACCCATAATAATGCAAGATATGTGATCTTTTAAGAAAAGCAATTTTAACTTTAAAGCAACTCTTTATAGTTTTTTTTTTGTAAATTTTGAGTCCCCTAGAGTTAAGTGAGTGGAACTGACTGCCGTAATTACAGTGGATAGCTGTACACATAAATTTTTTGCTGCCGTAAAGCAATCCGTGGAATTTCATGGAGTTTGGGGTTTTAAATGTTTTCAAAAGAAGTCTCTTATGCTCACCAAAGCTGCATTTATTTAAAACAGTGAAAACAGTAATATTGTGAAATATTATTACAATTTAATTAACTGTTTTCTATATAAACTTTTAACTTTTTTTGTTGAACCTATTTTGTCCCAGTACTCAAGAATTGGTGCATTACATAACCTCTCTGATTGTTTTCTATCAGTCATACATGACAGCTGAAAAAAAGCTTGTTCAAGTATTTCAAGTCTGTAAGAATTATTCACACTCACATCTCCTATGCTTTTACAATGTCTGTCAATATTGCTTTCCATTATGTTTTCATTATTATTTGTGTATAACGGATAAAAAGATTTGATGTGAGCAGTAGGATAAACTTACAAAAAAGGTAAGGTTAAAAAGGTACATCCTGGGCAGCTTCATAACCAATCATATATAAATGTTGGATTTGTACATGTTTCATGCAAAAAAAATAATAATTCTGAAGGAGCACTAAAAAAATTGTTTTAGGTGCATTTAATGAGGTGCTAATTTAATATATGCCAAATACAGCTTATGAATGCTGTTAATGATCATTTCTACATTACTATCCTGCTCTTTTAAAGCCAGTAGCAGAGTTTTCGCAAACTGTTTAAAGAAAATTCTTCATTGCCTCATCATGTAATTTCCTTGTAAAGTACAAGTTGTTCAGACTTTCCTCTGTTATTCCTCACAACTCATATCATTTTGTCTTCTCATTTTGTTTTGGCTCACTTTATCTCAAAGTGTTTAATATCAATCAGCACTGGATATATCACTTAAATATTTATTCACAACCCCGTGTATGAGAAATTAACAAGCTGAGATGGAAAGGAGATTCACGACACACAGCGGTCCACCGAAATGGAGAATAAGGAAATCTGATCGGGCGTTTGTCCAGGTCTCCTCCTCTCCACTTAGCACTGCTGGAATATCATAGGGCCCATGATAGGTCCTTGTGGAGCTCCTGCTCTTGTGTGGTTTGGACAAGCGTTTGAAATGAAATGAGAGTGTGGCGCCAGAGAGGCCTATTCCGAGTGAAGCTCTATGAATAAAATAATATTTTCACAGTTTGACTTGTATTATTTATTTTTCCCTGCGCACACATTTTTGCTAATTGATACAGTTATATGGAGCTGTGTGTAAGGAAATGGGTATTTATTGTAATTGAATGTTGAGTGTTAATTGTGCAGTTACATTTCTGGATTATTCCGAGTGCATTTGGATACTTAAGCCACTCAGAAAATGTATGAATGTCATTGCACTAGATCTATATGACTATTTGTCTGTCTGTGTCTAGATAAATTATTGAAGAAATATGCATGTATATATATATATATTTAAAAAAGTTATATATATGTTTTCTTAACGTGGTGAAAGTGCTATTATATTAGCTGATGGTATGTCACAGACATCTAAACTGGGTTTCATTGTCCATTAAACGTAAAGAAACAGACTTTGATCTGGTTGTTTCATCCATGGGCAAAAATGAGTGATGTCTGCTAACAGATTTAAACATGAGCTTTCAGGCCATGGATCAAAGCACTCCCTTTGCTTCCACTCTCTCATTATGGCAAAAAGCCATCCAAGCCTGTCTCTATTTTTCCTTAAAAGAGCCTCAAAAGTCTCCGAAGACCTGTGCCCGTCAGATTTACAATAGCGAATGGGACTATTTACCAGAAGTAGGAGCCATCCAGAAATAACAGAGCAGAAAAATAAATGGAGCCTGCTATATTTTTCCACACAAGAAAATATGCTATAGGTCTTGTGCCTTGCTGGTTCGTAATTAGTTCTTAAACATTCTCTGCTTTGGATCTCTGCGTCCACATTCAGCGTTTCTGATAATATACAATGCAGCATTAATGTCAAACATGTCTCACTCTTGTCCAGGGCTGTAACTCTATTCTGTTTGTACAGACTCAAGTGATTCACAAGTCCTCACGGAGGAGACCCTACGGAGACAGTAGCTCACTGTCTCTAGTCAATGCTCAAATTTGCAAATACATTTTTTTTGAAAAATAAAAATGTTGTCATTCAAACTTAGTATTATTTTTTCTACAATGAAACACAAAAGGAAATCTTAGGAGGAATGTCTCAGCAGCTCTTTTCAACACAATAAAAGTGCAGTCACAGTTAGCGCTGATCTGAGAAATTTTGTGGACGAAATTCAGTCATTTTCATCTGTTTGTGTTCGGGAATTTCACGTAAGAGCAAAAATGTTCTCTATGCAGATTTCACTCATGTTCCAGTTGGTTATGTGAATTCGCCACACTGAAAGTGTGACTTTTGTGTGATCTGTGCTTCATACATTGCTTTATTGACAACGGACCCTTTTGCCCGCCAAATTTAGCTGAAATATCACTGATGTATGGAAGCTTGTTTTCACCATGAAATACAAAGGGTAACTGAGACATTTTCACTCACTATTCAGACTTTTTCTCACAATTGTGAATTTATATCTTGCAATTGCAAGTCATAAACTCGTAATTGCGAGTTTACATTTGACAATTTTGACTTTTTTCCTCAGATTTTCGAGTTTATATCTTGGAATTGCAAGTCAATCGTAATTGCGAGTTTACATTTTACAATTCTGACTTTTTTCCTCAGATTTGCGAGTTTATGTTGCAATTCAGATGGAATTGTGAGGGGAGAAAAAGAGTCAGAATTATGAGATAAGTTGCAATTACTTTTGTTTATAAATTTTTTTTTTTATTGTCTGGTGGAAACAAGCTTTCATTTAGACACCAATTGTAAAATGTCACACTCAAAAAAAGACCAAAAGCAGTAAGTATCAAAAGTGGTTCACAAAAAAAAAATAAAAAATAAAAAAATAAAATAAAAAAAATTAAAAAAAAGTGGTTCACATGCTATAATATTTCAAGTTTAGTTTTCTGAATTCTTATGATAGTTTTGGGTGAAGAATAGATCACATTTACGGCGTCAAGTGCTTGCGGTGTTCGGCCAATCACAATGCACTGGGTCAGCTGGCCAATCAGAGCAGACTGCGCTTGTCGGAAGGAGGGAATTTATAGAAAATGAAGTGTTTGAGAGAGGCGGGGCATAGAGGACCTACAATAATGTACAGTATTTGAAAAATAATGTGTTTTTTGAACATTAAAGCATGTCAACATATTCTGTTACACCAAATACACAAAATAATGATCTTTTAAAAAGCATCATATGACCCCTTTAAACCTTTTCTCAAGGCATGCAGTTGCAGAACATATCCAGCAGATGGAGGTATTACAGCTACATGACATTCTAATCCCATTTTGAACAATGTGTCTGTGGTACAGCCAGACACATATCTTAAATTGTACACAACTGTGTCCAAACAAAGGTTGGACTGTGAACCAGATGAACAAAGTATTAAATTACCACAATCAGTGACAGCTGAGAATGAATCAATGTTTGAATGAGTGTCTGTTAGTGTCTGAGTGACTTGACCATATAAACAACAGTCAGTCAGTTCTAAACCTCGCAACAGTAAAAAAAACAAAAAAACCTTGGATATCTTCAGATTTATTGAGTATACAAAACCATATATTATTGCTGAACTTCTAAGACTCTTCCGAGTCACCCTATTTAGCCTAATTTTGGTTGTATGTTTGCAGTTCCTCTCCGTATTTCAGTAATATTTAGTTTTTAGGATCACATGAAAGTTTACTGTTGATTTGTGGTCTAGTAGAATGAACTGGTCTCCAGAATTTTGACACAAATGCATTATATAAATTTTATTAGAGCAAAGTGGAAGAAACATAAATCCGAGTTTTTCTTGGAGAAACAAAATATCAGGTTTTCCCTCGCAATCGTAATGAAGTTGCCATGTGACTGACATGCAGAGGGATTTGATGGAGATTGTTGATCTGACAGGCACACGCCTGTGGCTTCGGTAGAAGGCTGAAGACCTAACCAGAGGGATTTCTGGCTCTGCAGAGCTCCAGTCTGGCAGACGAACTGGACATCAAAGCGGAGCAGTAGGGTTTAATATGAACCCTGTCATACGGATCCGCTCCAGATCCACAAACACAGAGAAATCAGATACTTTTGGGGTAATTCTACAAATTGGGTGTCATTTGTATTCCTATATATATAAACAACAAGTCACTGAATAGCTAATGCCAACTTCTACCATGTCATTTTTTTTTTGTTAAAGCAAAAACAAAAGATTATGTATTGCATTTTATGTTTTTCATTTGTATTATCTGCTATCTCTCCCACCACCTCTACTCCGTGTGTTTCTCTGCACAGGCCCGGTGCACCCAGGACGCGATCTTCCCAGATG